GGCCAAACCCCAATTTCTTCTTCTCCCTATGTTTATGGGCTCGAGCACCGCTCAAGTTAGGGCTTCCAATTGGCCTTGGATCCATCTTGCTCCGTTGAGAATTGTCATGAAGATTTCTTTCATGAATCCTAATTTTGGTACATTTCTCACTTAAGTTCATGTCCCAATTGGATTTGTTTAGTTCATCTCCCATATTGGTATATGATCAATATGAGAATATAAAATATACACTTGTAAATATATTTGTTACCGTGATTGACTATCACCAATGCAAGAGATTCTGTTTTCGCTACAACATGTTCTTAGTTTATTCCTTCGATCTTAAATCACCAGTAGCGAGTACTATATAAACGAATATCATGCCAACCAATAGACGAATGCTTTCATCTTTAAAATATAATAAAAAAAAAAATTGAAACTTTGTTCATATAAAATCATTACACAATTAAAATAAGAGATGGGATATGAAATATGAATCTAATTAATTAATATGCAATGAAAACCAATAGAGTGTCACCATGAATTGTGGCCTAGAAGGTGTGAAAGTTGCATAACTTTTGGGAAATGCCTAAAATAATAATAATAATAATAATAATAATATAACCCACAAGAGAAGGGAGGAGGCTGAGTGGGCATAATCATAAACAACTTTAGATATATATATATATATATAAAAGTCATAAGATTGGAAGAGGGTTTTGTTTTGGTTGATGGGTCAAACAAAGCGAAGAAAATGATACCCAAATCTATGTTTATATATATATATGTTATGGGTTTTGTTAGTGGAGGGATTTGATGCTTCAATATCTACCTGATTCTTGCTTTCTTTGTTTCTACCCTTCTTGGATGCCAAACCAATTAGTAACCCTTTTGTAGCCAAGCAAGAACACATTTCTTGGTCTTGGAATATATAATCTTGTGGCGAAATGAAGTGCTTGGAGGGAATGGAGGTCATTTTCTGAACCCTCTACACATTTCTCCTCTCTCTCTCTCTCTCTCTCTAACTAATTTCTCTCTCCTAGACTCTTTAAATAAGACCACTTACCCCTCACTTTTAGTATTCAGTTCTTTGTGTACAAACGAAAAGAAAGAAACCCATATAGCAAACATTCGAAGCAGAGAGATTCAAATCCCTAAACCAGAAGGGAATATGGTGGGTGCTTTCTTTCTTTCTTTCATTCATTCTCTTCAATGCCTTCAATCATGTCTCTCTGATTTGATATCTGTTTCTTTCAGGAAAGTGGTGATCGAGTTAGTAGATGGGAAGGGTATGTGGATTGGAGGAAGAGGCCGGCTTTGAAAGGCCGCCATGGGGGAATCATTGCGGCAGCGTTTGATCTTGGTATGTGTGTCATAACATAATTTTGAGAAAAAAGAGAGGATTTTGGAGATCAAATTGAAGAATTTTGATTTTTTTTTATGGGTTTAGTTGTGGAGATATTGGAGAATTTGGCGTTCTTGGCAAATGCAAGCAACTTGGTGATGTACTTGTCGCATTACATGCACTTTTCTCCATCAAAATCAGCCAACAATGTCACAGATTTCATGGGAACTGCCTTCCTTCTTGCGCTCCTTGGTGGCTTTCTTTCTGATGCCTTTTTCACCTCTTATCTCATCTACTTCATTAGTGCTGCCATTCAATTACTCGTAAGTATATCTTTCTATATATTACCCTTTTTTTCGGTAAAAGATTCGAACGTCTGAATTCTTGATATGGGTATGATATGAAAAACAAGACAAAAGGGGTACTTGGGAGGAGGTGGATCACGAGCTAACTGTTGATGCCCCCATGGTTGTGTGAAAAAAAAGGAAGGAACTTTATTAGATTAGAAGAAGTGGGACCCACTAAGAGTGTGATGATGATCATGCAATGAGTGCGTCGTACTGGAATATTTCCCCCACCATGCATATAAGGCTAATTATTTTGTGTTTGTGTTTACTCATCTTCTTGTAGTCGTCTTGTCCCTATTTGTAAGCCATTGGTCCTCAACATAACGGCTGTAGCCCTATCAGATGTCGCCACGCACATAACTCTTGTGTTTTTATTACGACACGTGTCTTTAAGTCTTGTCCACATCATACTCGAAATAAGACAATTCTTTTTTTCTGTACAGTTGTCCATTTATGGTCTTTGTCTAAGATTTGTTGATCTTAGAAATAGGCTCTAAGTCATGAGATCACTCCGTTCGATATTATCTTTTTTGGCTTTTATTTTTTTTAGGTCATTGTTTTCCTCTCAAACCAAGATCAACCAAGATCACGATCTCTAGCAAATATTGTGTCTTTAGTTTTTTTATTTTTATTATTATGTGTCATTATTTCTCTCTCCAACCATTGTAAGATCTCATAATTCATCTCTTTTTGAGGCCATCGTTTCTCTCTCCAACTGATGTGAGATCTCACAATCCACTATTCTTTTGGGTCGTCGTCCTTGCTGACATTTGTTCCCCTCTCTTGGATCTTATAGTTAAAATAATTTTTTAGTGTAATATATTTTAAAATATTGATTATTTAAAAGATATGCATGATGACATTGTTGAAATATGTTTGAATAATTTAGCTAGATGATTCTTGAAAGATGAATATTTTAAGGTAAGTGCTTATCTTATTGTATTATGATGAATATTAAATATGCGATGATCTATGTATAGGTAGAGATTAATTTTTGGTAGTCTTTATCACTTGGGGACTATAGTTTTAATGAGTTATGGTATGGAGATGAACATAAGGAAGCATGACATTATATTACATGGTCAAAACGACATAAAAATTAAAAGATGTCCCTGTGAATAGGTAAGCGGCAGCCAATAGGATGAGAGGAAAGAGTAACACGTGGCTTCAAGTGTGTTCACATTGGTGTCAGTGAGGGAATATGATTGCTTAGTACTGACACCTGCCTCCTTGAATTTCCTCTCATTCCAACTACTTATGATCCTATCATTTTAATCTGACAATCAATATCTTCTGACATAAAACATAGTTAACGTTGTAATCAACTTTGATTTAGTTAATGATTACAGTAATGAAGCTCTAATCCAAGAATTTGAGCAGGGATTGGCAGTGTTGCTGATTCAAGCCAAGATACCATCGCTGATGCCTCCTCCATGCGATCGCCATGCAAACCATGGCACCATGTGCCAAGAAGCGAGCGGGGGTAAAGAAGCCATGTTGTTTGCTGGGCTATATCTGGTGGCATTGGGAGTCGGTGGCATAAAAGGGTCGCTGCCGTCGCATGGGGCGGAGCAGTTTGATGACAGTACCCCACATGGCAGGAAAAGGAGATCCAGTTTCTTCAACTACTTTGTGTTTTGTCTGTCATGTGGTGGGCTAATTGCAGTCACATTGGTGGTGTGGGTTGAAGACAACAAAGGCTGGGAGTGGGGCTTTGGAATTGCAATGCTCAGCATAGTTTTGTCCATGATTGTGTTCTTTGCAGGCTCCCCCCTTTACCGCAACAAAATACCTAATGGAAGCCCATTCACAACAATTAGCAAGGTAGAAATTAAGTAGAAACTTTTAATATGAGGCAAAATGGAATCAAATGAATGAGCTTTTGTGTTTTTACTGAGTGCAGGTGTTAGTAGCTGCAATGTTTGGTTGCTGCATCGGCATGAACTCACGAAACTCGATATCGAGTATGGAGATGAGCCCGGCTCTTGATGACAAGGAAGCTATACAAAATGAAAAGGAAAGACATTCAACAGATGAGGTGGAAGAGCCATCAGAGAGCCTCAAGTTTCTAAATAATGCAGCTCTGAACAAGCCATTCTATTCAGCATTAGAATGTACAGTGAAAGAAGTTGAAGAAGTGAAGATTGTGTTGAGAATTCTACCAATATTTGCTTGCACTATCATCCTCAACTGCTGTGTAGCTCAGCTCTCTACATTTTCGGTTGAACAAGCATCAACAATGGACACCAAAATAGGTTCCTTCAAAGTTCCACCTGCATCTCTCCCTATATTCCCAATACTCTTCATCATGTTCCTTGCGCCAATATATGATCACTTAATCATCCCGTTTTCTCGGAGAATAACGAAAACCGAAACGGGGATCACTCATCTTCAGAGGATTGGAGTTGGGTTACTTTTCTCTATTGGAGCCATGGCTGTTGCAGCAGCAGTTGAGACTAAGCGCAAGAGAGTAGCCACCGAACATGGTCTACTCAACTCGGCTCAGCCATTGCCCATCTCATTTCTTTGGATTGCTATCCAGTACTTGTTTCTTGGATCAGCAGATCTTTTCTCCTTGGCTGGATCATTGGAATTTTTCTTCACAGAAGCACCTGCAAGTATGAGATCCTTGGCTACATCTCTATCCTGGGCTTCTCTGGCTATGGGATACTATCTTAGCTCAGTGGTTATATCAATAATCAACAACGTCACAGATAGATCAGACCACCAGCCATGGCTGTCGGGAAGAAATCTAAACCATTATCACCTTGAGAGATTCTACTGGTTGATGTGTGTGCTCAGTGGATTAAACTTTGTGCACTACCTATTTTGGGCTATGCAGTACAAGTACAGACCAAAATCAGGACAATAGATAGATATAGATATGGATATGATGCAGTAATACTTACAGGGTTTCACAGATTTATTCAAATAGATTTAAATTCCCGCCTTCCATCCAGTGGAGAGAATCTTGACAAGCACTGCAAATGCTCTTATCTTTCAGCTGGCATGAGACAGACAGAATGGAAGGGTAAATTTTTCAGGTGGGCGGAGAATGAAATGACTTGTATCAGTGAATCTGTGATGCGTGGGAGAGAGTTAAATATTCGCCAAAGCATCTTTTTATCAACCTCTTTGTATTTGGTTTGCATTAATTGAATCTTTCTTATTGCACGTTCTTTGCATACAAAATTTGATGGATATATAACAATTAGAAACTACGATCCTTCCCAATGGTATGATAATATTTAATTTTAATCAGTCCACACAACAATCTAAACTTCACCCTTACTAATAAGCTACAATGTAAACACAGCCGCTAACGCATAAATCAAAAGAATGCCCGCTATTTCAACTTAAAATTGAGACGCTTCACATTCCATATTAGAAAAATGAGAACTTGACAATAGCGTTTAAGAACATCTACTGTCTTATCTTTCTTATATACCTCTTCAGGAGATGTAATTACAGTGAAAATTTAATATTACTATTCAAAACGAGACGAACGGGCTAGCCCCGTGAACATCCCACGGTCATGGACAAGCTCCTCACGGCCACCCTGACTGCACCCACGGTGCTAAGTTGTTTCATCTTAGGGTTCAACCCATGTTCATCCTGCTTTTTATCATCTTCATCCATCTGGACACCCACAAAGTACGCTACCTGCAAACAATACCATTCACTTGGTAAGGAAATAGAAAAGCTTTCTTGGTAAATTCAGCTATAAAATGTCAAAAGGTGTCAATAGTGGGCATTAGTACACTTCTTGTTATACACATTGATCAAATACTGGGGCAAAGAAACATTATGAAAGCAAGGTTTCATAACTATTCTTTGAATTGTTTTACAGGGATTATCTTGTAACAGTCCATGCCTAAGCTCATGTCCACCGCTAGCAGATATTGTCTTCTTTGAGTTTTTCCTTTCGAACTTCCTCTTAAAGTTTTTAAAAGGCGTCTACTAGGGAGAGATTTCCAATCCAAGCCTTTATAAAGAGTGCTTTGTTCGCCTCTCTAACCGATGTGGGATCTCACAATCCACCCACCTTTAGGTTCCTTCCCTAAGTATTTTTGTTTTTTTCTTTCTTTTTTTAAGTTTTGTTCCTTCCTTAGTTGCGGTTTGTAAATCGAGCATTCAAACATAACATAGCAATCTCTAACATTATAATAACGTTAATCTATATGAATCATCCAAATTCAGCACTTAAAAACATTTCTGAAAATAAAAATAGAAAGTTACATTCAACAACAGCTCCGAAACAATCTCTGAATTTGAACTAAATACAGTGCTTGTCTTAGATGGGTGATCGTGCACAATGTACTATGACTAAAGAAGGCAAACAATGTTTTTTTAACTCAATTCAGAAAACGTGGACATTATTAGAACTAGAGAATCCCAAAATTTCAATCAATACTAAAGAAAGCAACAATACCTTTCCTGAAGCATTTCGAACAGGTGATATGTGGAGATCATTCCAAAATGAGCTCTTATTTTTCCTGTTGTAAGAGCAGTTAGAAAGTTGTCTTTTATTCTGAAGACTACAAATTACGCATTGTATAAGATGTTGTAGATAATATCAACCTGTAATTTAAAATCCGTACAGTGCAAGCTTGTTCAGATTGAAGACTTTCCTTTATCTGGCAAAGAAAATCAGATTCATAACAATTATTTCTATAACTCATCAGAAACTCGGGTGAAAAATGCTTGTTCAACCAGAAAGGAGGAAATACACAACCTTAAAAAGGGTTGAAGAATCCGTGTCAATTCCACTTAAGAATCTACAGTTGCGCCCAAGCACTTCACGTCTAGTATAACCTAAGGCATGCAAGGCAAGAAAAATTGTAATGTATTGTTCAATCAGAATCTTTAGGCATCAAAATCTTAAATGCTATATAGTTTCCTCAATGTTTAGTTTAGCACCTGTTAATTTCAAAAACTCGTCACTCGCATAAACTATAGGCATGTCTGGTAAGTTCGGATCAGTTCTGCAAAAATGCAGAGACATGACATGAATCCAAAAGTGAACAGGATAACGTAATTCGCTTATAAAACACAAGATTTAGGCATAAACAGAAGTACTAGTCTGGAATAACTCACAATACAAAGCTCTGTTTAATTCTGTTAAGAGATGTATTCAAGGATGAACAAAGAATGCCCACCCTAGGCACGCTGCATCTCCTTTCGCACACCAATCTGCCAGTTACCTCACTGTGATGAGTTAGGACAGATAAGATGTTACTAATAGCAATTGCAGCTCTTTGCTTCTCATCATCACAAGCTTCACATGGTTCTTCAATGTCTACTCCTATGAGATATCCACTCAGGAGAAAATCAATGGCCAATATCATAACCAAAGATGAAAACAAAAATAAAATAACTGGTGGAATGACTAAAACTCTGAATGAATAATGGTAGCAGATCATAAATCTGTGTTGAAAAATATTAGAACATTACTCAATGTTAACAGAACGAGAAAAGGAAGAAGAAAGTGAAGGAGAGAAATAGATGAAAGTTCAAGCAATACTTTCAGGAAACACTGGATCAAGCTCTTCAATGAGATAGAAACTGGTTAACAGAATGGGAGAAAAATCAAGAAGAAATATGAATGCAAACAGCTAAAAAATTTCAACAGGAGCAAACAGGAAACAGCTTGATGCATAATTTAGAGACAGACCTCTGATGTCGGAATCCGGTGGTGAATCTCTGTTCAAAAGAAAATCCAATTCCGAGATAGAATCAGACAACAACTCCCGGCGGCAGGACTCTAAAAGACTTTTGCACGCTCTAAATTCATTCTCATAAGGAACACCTTGAATTCTAGCGAACCCACATATAGATTTCCTTGAATTCTTCCATATCGGCACCTGAACACCCACAAAGTGAATGATCCGCCCATCTTCCTTGCAGAAGACGGGGCTCAGTTGAAAAAAGACCCAGAAGGGTGTACCATCTTTACGATAATTTAGCAAATTAATTTGAATCCCCTTCTCTTCCCGAATTGCCTCGCGAATTTGCATTACTGAACTCCTACAAGTTTTTGGGCCCTGAAACATCCTCCCATTTTTTCCAATCACCTCTTCTTTGGTATATCCAGTCATCTTCAAGAATCCACGGCTCACGAACACAATTGGGTGACCCGACATACTGGGATCAGTGATTGTAAAATTATCCGACAAATCATTAAGAGCTTCACGGACCCAGAGCGAATAACGACTGTTAAGTGATTGTTCAATCAAACCCAATTGAAATTCCATCCTCCTGGTTCTTCAACTTGTTGGACTAAAACCCCTTTCTTCCTCGATATTCGGAATAGTCCCAATCCCATGAGGCACTCAAACCTCTGGTTCAGTCTCTCGAAGAAGCTTTGAACTTCAGTATATAAAATCAAGAAGAACAACAAACAAAAACCCTAGAATGAATCCGTATCGACTCAGGGATTCGACAAGCTACTCGCGGGGAGAACACACTTAGCAACTACGAGTGTCCATATGACTGTGAATAAGAGAACATCCGAATGAAAAATATCGCGTAAATTGTGATCAACAAAAATTGTTCGCAACTATCCATATTTCGATGCGATGAGAAAATTGAAATGAAAATGATCCAGAAATCAAATCACCCATCACGCCGTCGAGATTGGAAAATGAAAAATATCAAACCAGCAATGAAGAAAAAGAAAGCAGAACCAACGCCGTTCACAAATTCGCGGCACAATATTTCTGGTTGATATTACCCCCTCCTTTGGCCACAAAATATTTACAAAAAAAACAAGGAAAAATGGTTATCCCATTGTTCTAAGCTTCTGATCATATCAAAAAGATAACAAGAATGTAAATCATGAAGATCAAGGTATAATTTTCTGGCTGAGTTGCCACAGATTTACCGAAAAACGGAGGAATTAGAGAGGGTGTGCCGATGGTAGTCCCAATCATTGTGACAAGAAGTGTCCACGTAGATGAGGGACAATGTATTGATGGGCTGAGAACAGAAGCAAACGAGGGCACCGACGCTGAGCGGAATACCGTTCTTATCCAAATCCTCGTCACACTGTGGTGTGTGAATATGATTTTTTAATTTTTTAATTTTTTTTTAAAATTTTTAATAGCAGAACCAAGTGCGTGGCAGAACGCGAGTCGTGGTATTTTTATTTTCATTTTATTATAAAAGGCTCTTATCCATATATTCCACGTTTTTTTAATTTGAAAAGCAAAGTCAAATTTTAAATACTAAAAAAATAATTTTTAAAATTTAACTAAAAATTCTAGTGTTCCCTTTCACAAAACTAATTGAATTTTTGGGAGGAAATAATCATAAATTTTAAAAAATAGAAAAACTAAAACAATAGATATCAAACAACCTTTTTTTTTATATATTTTTTTTATTTAGAAAAGTAAGTAGAAAGTGAATAACAAAAACATATGAATTTATGGATGAAAATAGTGTTTATAATTTTTTTTTTAATACTAAATGGTTATTAAATTGAGTATTAGTTTTTTTTTTTTTTACATTATTATTATTATTATTATTATTATTATTATTATTATTATTATTATTATTATTATTTTTGTAACGTCTTAGTCCAAAAACCCTAAACCCTAAACTCTAAATTGGTTGAAGGAGGTATAAATAAATAAATAAAATAAAATAAAACAAAATATTAAAAAAAAAAAGAGAGAGAAGGATTGTGGGCGTCGAACGAAGGAAGCATAGCTAAATACAAAACCGAGGAGGGAAGTCGAACGAAGGAAGAATGCCAAGTTGTTATGTGTTTGCGGGAGGACGATCTACGAGATTTGAGGAGGATTGTGGGCGTCGGAAACGAATCAGAGGATGAGGCGACGATGAACATGCAGAGGTGAGTGAAAGCGATAGGGCGGGCAAGGGAAAACGATGGTTCCACGTCTTGCGCCGGCCTCCGCCTCGCGTGGCCCAGCCCGGGCCTGTGTGCGGCCAATGCAGGCGCGTGCGTCCCACCTTGCCCACCACGGGCGCGCGAACCGAGGTCCAGTCGACTCGACCCGACTTAATTGGGTCGGTTGGCCCTTTTGATTTAATTCACCCGCTTTAACTCCGATCTTGGCATCGTTTTCATGGTATTCTCCATTTTTGCACCAATGTAGGAATTATCTGATGAGTTTGACAAATTTTAGACTAAAGACGCAAATCCGAACAAAAAAGTGTTACGCTTTTCAGGTAAGTGGCACCTCGGAACCTTGGATATAGCTATGCTCTTAGTATGCATGAAATTATGATATAAGAAGTATGTTTTAGAAGTTTGAGCATATAATAAGTTGAGATGATACATGTTTAATGTGATTATGTATGTTCGCTGAAACTTTAATGAAACACGTATGCAACCACCTTATGAACAGAGATTCATGACTAGCTTTCCATGAGTAGGTGATTAATTTATGCCTCCATCACGCATGTTACAGTATTAGCGGTTACCTAGGGACGATTAGGGGTTTGCCAACTAACCCCTAACAGTAAACCTGACTCGATTATCAGGGGTCCGCGTAACTATAGAACTGACCATTTTATTCACGAGGGTACCTTGTGGGGACTTATAGGAGGTTTGTCAGTTATTTCCTTTAAGTGAACCTGTCATGAGGGACAGGGGTCCACGTTGGTACATTAGAGTTGGTTGAGGATTACTGTTCATACATATGATATTAGCGGTTATCCGGGGACAATTAGGGGTTCGCTAACTAACCTTTAATCATAAACCTGACTCGATTGTCTGGGGTCCGCGTATCTATAGAACTGGCCATGTTACTGTTGATGGTACCGTGTGGGGACTTATAGAAAGTTTGCCAGTTAGTTTCCTTTAAGTGAACCTGTCACGAGAGACAGGGGTCCACATTGGTACATTAGAGTTGGTTGAGGATTACTGTTCATGCATATGATATTAGCGGTTATCCGGGGACGATTAGGGGTTCGCCAACTAACCTCTAATCGTAAACCTGACTCGATCGTCAGAGATCCGCATAACTATAGAATTGGCCATTTTATTGTTGATGGTACCTTGTAGGGACTTATAGGGAGTTTGTCAATTAGTTTCCTTTAAGTGAACCTGTCACGAGTGGTAGGGGTCTACAGTGGTACACTTGAGAGTTGGTTGAGTCTTAGAATGCATGAACCCTTAGTGCTGGAGATATGATGACGATGATGAGAGGCTAGCAAAAGCGTCTAACCAGGTGACCTAGAGAACCTAAGAATATTCCGAGGGCTGGAGGTTCAGATAGGACCGTGAACCAAGAGAGTGGAATGAGAGATCTTAGGGTGTAACCTAGGAAGAAGCCTATGCAGGAGAATGAATCCCGGTGGGAGAATAAGATACCGAACGTGGAAACAAGATTAATAAGACTTAATAATCCCTGCTACAACTTTCTTTTCAGGTGGGAGTTGATGTAGCAGTCGAGGCGGAGGCACAGGGGGCTGTTGGCTATTGAGAATTCCATCACATTTGAGTCGAATTTCTTTGTACCTACCTTTATGTATTTTAAATAGTCGTCCGAACCATGTTGTATCTTAGTGGTCTTTTCTCTTTTCTTTATAAAAAGAAAACAAAATTTTCATTTCTACTTTAATTAAATTTCAAATTACACGCACGTGTTTAAATGTTTTAAATTTTATGCATTTTTCTTATTTTGACATTCTCGAGTAACGATTAATGGCTCGAGACTTTCAAAATTTTTGGGTCGTTACATTATATTAGAGGAAAACTTCTTGTAAGAGTCAAATCCACTGCTAACATATATCGTCCTTTTTGGATGAAATCTCACCATCCACCCTCTTGGGGGCCAGTGTCATCACTAGCACAGCCCAATGTCGAGCTTGGATACCATATGTAATAGCCCAAACCTACTGCTAGCATGGATTATCCTCTTTGAGCTTTTCTTTTCGAGGTATTAAAACGTATCTGTTGGAAGAGGCTTCCAACCTTTATTAGGAATATTTCATTCCCCCACACCCTTATCGGAATGTTTTGTTCTTCTCTTCGAATATGAGATCTCGCGTAGTTGTAAGGTAATCATAGTACATAAGTAACGGTGGATCTGGGTCATTATACTTCTTCTAGTATGACATGATATGGGAACGAATTAAGGTAGCAGTTGGTGGACATGCGACGCCATATTAAAGAAGGAAGTCACAAATTAGGCGATATTATATATGAATAAGAAATATTTAAAAAATATGATGGCTAAAAAAAACTTAAAATAATTTAAAGTTATTGGTTATATTATCAAAGTGTACCTTTTTTTTCGGTAGCTCAATCATGCATAACTTCAAATGGTACTATATATATTAAATAACCGATGCGATATAAATTTATACTTTATATTAAATAACATATGCTATTTTTTTAAAGAAGACATTTCAAACTTATATCTTAGGACGTTAATGAGGTGGGGTTAAAGATTAGATTATTTTGTATTTTTTGTATATATATTAATAAAATGTATTTTTTTAAAATATTTAAAAATTTAAAATTTCAATAAAATTCTCTAGAGGGCCTCTTAGAATTTTTTTTAACAAGAAAATAAATATCTCAAAAATACTTTATATTATAATGTGATGTGAAAGTGAGATTATAATAGAATAAGTCTGAAAAATGATATTTACATATATTTTTTATTAAAATAGAATAAGTCGACTAATAATCATATTTCAAATTTATTGGGCCCAGAGAAGCTCTGAACAAGTAAAGCCCAGCCCACATTAAATGGCCCATTGGTGCCTTAGCGAGAAAGTATGTTCGGCCCGGCCACCGATTTTCTTATGTCCGGTGCTCCGCCACCACTGGATCTATCCTCCACTTCGCTAACAGAGTTTCTCCGGCTCGATCTCTGATCAGGTAGGTAGACCCAAGGACCGTTTGTTTCCCCGACTTATCTATATTATTCTCAATTTCTTTGCTCTACCTGCTTAGTGATTGACAAATGGCATCATCGATCAATTTCAATTTCCAATTACGAGTTTACCGGACGCATCTTGATTTTGCAGATACTCTGTCGATACGATAATGAATTTTCTACTCAGATCTACACATACCGTCCCTCCAGAACGGCCTTCTGTTCAAGAAACCCCTCCTCCAGCTGCCTATTATGCGCCAAAGCCAGCAGTAACTTTGGAGGGTCTGATTTCTGAAGATCCGTTTCCCCAATATTCTGCTGTTGGTAATAATGACGAGGAGGCTGATGCATCTGGCGGTGATTTTGGAAGTATTGCTGATCATATGGACAGAAGCGGACGTGCTAGGGTAGTAAAGCATACTGATGTTTCCGAGGAAGAAGGGTGGATTTCCATTCCATGCAGTGGGTTCTTGTTATATCAGTTCACTAATGTCTGAATTTCGTAACTGTGTCATAGTGTATGAATGTGTACCGATGCTTTGCATACATTCTGGTTGCATAAGATGATGATCATAACACACCGTATAGCTTGTATATACTGTGATTTTTATTCAAAAAAGATACGTCTACATTGTATGTGAATAGTCAACTCGAAACTTTGGCATTCGTTTCAAGTTAAGGCACCTAATTCCACATTTCGTCGGATCAAATGGCTTTGAAAGCTGAATGTGAAGTTTCAGTTCTCAAATGATGTCCTCCTCCTGTCCTTTTGTTTGAAGTTTGAAGTCTCTCATTAACTAAGATAGAACTAGCTTAGGAACTTCATTGCATAAATCTTGCGGTTCCTTCTCATACGTTTAGAGTGGAAAGATTCTTTAAGTATCATTTTAGTGTTAAAGTCGCGAGATTGATTAGTCTTATTACTAGGACAATTACTTAATAACGCATTCGTTTGATGTGAAATTCTTACACACAAGAACACACACCTGAAATTATTTTAACTAAATGTATGGTTAGAGGTCCTGATTCCTGAGTAGTAGAATGGTTAACATAGCTATATTCTTTATTTGATAGATACGTTCTCCTCTTTTGGTTCTGTTTCACAAAGGAAATCTAAAACTTGATATTCTTTTCTAGAGGGTCTTCCTAATGATTGGAAAAATGC